TTGGTAGACTTTTGATGACATCTGCTATTGTTTCACTCAAAACTGATCTGTTTAAATTGTTTATATCATCCTGATTGAGTTTGGGCAAACTATATGACTCTAGAAATTTTCTGATGCCTTCAATATTTTCTATTTTATTGGAGTAAAAGTTTTTAAAATAGTTTCTAATTATCTTCTGTATTTCCATAGTGTCTGTTGTGATATTTCTATTTTCATCACATATGTTAGTGATTTGGGTATTCTCTTTTCTTCTCTACATTAGCATGACTAAGGGTCTGCCAATTTTATTTAGTTTTTTCAAAGAACCAACTTTTTGTTTTGTCAATTTTTTCAATTATTTTTTTTTGTTTCAATTTCATTGATTTCTGCTTTGATTTTAATTATTTTCTGCCTTCTGCTGCTTCTGGTGTTGATTTGCTCTTGTTTTTCTAGGGCTTTGAGATGTAATGTTAACTCATTTAATTGTTGATTTTTTTTCTTTTACTGAATAAACTCCATGCAATGAGCTTTCCTCTTAGAATTGCTTTCATAGTGCCCCAGAAATTTAGATATATTGTGTCTGAATTCTCATTTACCTCTAAATTTTTTTTTAATTTTTCTCTTTGATGACTTTGGCAACCCATTGTCTATTTATTAGAATATTATTTAGTCTCCAGGTGTTGGAATGGATTTTTTTTTATTTTATCATTGATTTCTAATTTCATTTCATTATGATTTGATATAATGCAGGGTAGTAGCTCTACTTTTTATATTTGCTAAGGGTTTTTTGTGGCATGGTATATGGTCTATTTTAGAGAAGGATCCATGTGCTGCTTAGAAGAAAGTATATTCTTTCATTGAAGGATAAATTATTCTGTATGTGTCAATTAAGTCAAATTATTTATTATATTAAGTTCTATCATTTCTTTGCTCAGCTTCTGTTTGGAAGGTCTGTCTAGTGAAGAAAGAAGTGTGTCAAAGTCACCCAAAATTATTGTGTTGTGGTCTATTTGACTCTTGAACTTGAGAAGAGTTTCTTTGATGAATGTAGAGGCTTCATTGTTTGGGGCATATATATATTTAAAATTGTTAAATCTTGTTGGTGTATGGTTCCCTTGAGTAGAAGGTAGTGCCCTTCTTTATCCTTTTTGATTGACTTTAGTTTGAAGTCTACTTTATTTGATATAAAGATGGAAACTTCTGTTTGCTTCCACAGTCCATGTGAGTGGTACAATTTCCCCCCACTCTTCACCTTCAGTCTGTGGATATCTTTTTCTATGAGATGAGTCTATTGGAGGCAGCAGATTAGTGTTTTTTTTCTTAATCCAATCTGCTAGTCTATGTCTTTTGATTGGTGAGTTTAGAACATTAACATTCAGGATTATTATTGAGACATGATTTGTGTTCCCAGCCATTTTTTTAATTTATGATATTTAATGTGGCTTGGTTTATCCTCTGATTTTCATCATTGTTTTATTTCCTTATCTTGGAATGTTTTGTTGAGGATGTTCTGTAGTTCAGGCTTTCTAACTGTAAATTCTTTTAACTTTTGTTTATCATGGAAGGTTTTAATTTCATCATCAAATCTAAAGCTTAGTTTTGCTGGATATAAGATTCTTCATTGGCATTCATTTTATTTCAGAGCTTGGTATATGTTGATTTACACTGTCCTCGTTTTGAGGGCTTGGGTTGAAAAATTTGCTGAGATATGAATTGGTCTCTCCCTATTTGTGATCTGATTTCTCTCTTTTGTGACTTGAAAAATTATATTTTTATTTGGTATGCTGGGCATTTTTATTATAATGTGCCTTGGTGTAGATCAGTTGTAATTTTGTATATTTGGTGTCCTGGAATTCTCTCATATTTGGTTTTCCAATTCATTCTTCATGTTTGAAAAATTATCTGATATTATCTCATTGAAGAGATTGTGCATTTCTTTGATTTGAAACTCTGTGCCTTCCTCTATACCAATAACTCTTAAATTTGGTCTTTTGATGCTGTCCCATTATTCTTGGATCTTCTGTTCATGATGTCTAACTATCTTCACTGTGTGATCAAATTTATTCTCTAGATTGTATACTTTGTCTTCATTATTTGACATTATTTCTTCTAAGTGATATAGTCTATTGGTTATGCTCTTTGTTGAAATTTTTATTTGATTTATTGTATCGTTCATTTCAAGGATTTCTGGGGTTTTTTTTCTAGAGTCTCTATCTCTCTCTTAAAGTAATTTTGTGCTACCTGTATTTTCTCTCTTATTGTTGAAGTGATCAATTTCTGCCTGTATTTGCTCCTTTAGGTAATTTACAAATTCACAGATCATTTTAATTATAACATTTTGAACTCCTTCTCTGACATTTCATCAACTTCACTTTCCATGGGTTCTGTTATTATAGTGTCATTGTTTGTTTGGGGCACTTTCCTCCATTAGTTTTTCAAGTTGTGTTTGTGTCTTCCTTTATTGCAGTGTGGATCTGAGATATTACATTTTTTCCCTATATTCTTGTTGTACCTGTGCAGATTACCTGTACCTTGACTCAATGTTGGGCTTCCAGACTCTACTGGTGTCCCTCAATGAATGCTTCTGCATATTGAATCTGGGTCCTGCATAAGTTGGCATGGGTAAATGTGGGAAGCCAGTCTGAATGTTTCACATTCTCCTCCCTGGAGCAGAAAGGCTCTCACCATCACTACATTATGAAGTGACCTGGACATTTCCCCAGTCTTGGAGGTTGAGGATGCATCTTCAGATATAGGCATGTCACCCCATGGATTGAGCTATGCTCACTTGTTCTTTTGTGATATTACCCCTTTGCTCTGTTTGGGATAGAATGTTCCATGGAAATGCCTTTTGTGTGTCCATTTCTCTTGCTCTGGTTTGGGGTATGGCCTTCTTAGATGTCAGCCAACCTGCTGACAGCAGGCTTCAAAAAAATAGACTCAATCCCTGAAACCAGATCCCTTGCCTCATTTGAATGGCTTCTCCTCAACAAAAAGGTTCAGTATGCACTTACTCTTTCTCTCCGCAGACACTTAAGGTCAGAGGAGGCATCACAGGACCCCCCCTAAAAAAGGTATCTCTGTCTCTTGTGTGGTTATTTCATGCAGCCTGGTTGCCCTGGAGTTAGCCTTAGTGTTTTTATCATGAGAAACATGACAGGTGAATCTGGGCCACTGAGCTTGACCTCTCTTGGCAGTCAGGTGACTGTGGTGATCTGGGATGAAATTTGGCTCCCACAGTACCCTGGTGGTCAGAAGGGGTTGTCCTGCACCTGAGGCTAGGCTCTGGTGGGTGTCTGCCCCACCAGGTAGGGTGGTATGGGATTGCTGTGAGCCTGGGACCACCATGCCAGTGTTGATTTGTTCTTCTTGAAGCTTATTTTGTTTCAGGAGAACCAAGATGGCAGCATGTTATTTTTTATTGATTTTTTTTAATCTCAAAAGCAGTGCTTATTTGTTGTATTGTGTCCTTATGAGCAAAAAGTAAATAAAAATAAAGAGCTATCTCTAACCATGCACCAAACTTAACTAAAAATTGAACAAGGACCCAGGAATTAAACCAGAGACTCTGTGTCTAATAAGAGAAAAAGTAGGTTCTGATCTTCTTCATGTGGGATTAGGACACAACTTTCTTATAGCCCAAGAATTTAAACCAAGAATCAATAAATTGGATGGAATCAAACTAAAAACTTTCTTCTCAGCAAAAGAAATAATCTTTGAAGTGAACACCTTTAATAATCTTTAAATAATCTTTGAAGCCTACACCTTTTTACCCCTCACACATCTGATAGAGCACTAATCTCTTGGGCATATAAAGAAATCAAAATGCTGAGCACCAAAAAAAAATAATAATAACCCAATCAACACATGGACTAAAAACTGGAACAGGTACATATAAGAAGAGGATACACAATCAATAAACAAATATATTTTTTAAATGCTCATCTCTAGCAATTTGAGCAATGCAAATCAAATCTACTCTAAGATATTATCTCACTTTAGTCAGATGGCAAGTATTATGAAGACAAACAATAAGTGTTAATGAGGATGTGCGGGGGAAAGGTACTCATCCTTTCCTGGTAGGACTACAAATTGGTGCAGCCAATATGGCAAATAGTATGGAGATTTCTTGAGAAGTTGGGAATGAAACACCATGTAATCCACCTCTCCCTCTCTTCAGTCTATACCCAAAGGACTCAAAAAGAGCATACTTCAGGGACACAGCCACATCGATGTTTATACCAGCACATTACACAATAGCTAAAGTGTGGAGCCAACCTAGATGCCCTTCAGTGGATGAATGGATAAAAAAAACATGGCATATATTCACAATGGAATTTTACTCAGCAATAAAAGTCAATAAAATCATGGCATTGGCAGGTATATGGATGGCATTGGAGAATATAATGCTAAGTGAAGTTAGCCAATCCTCCAAAAAACAAAATGGTTAATGTTTTCTCTGATATAAGGAGGCTGACTCATAGTGGGGTAAGGAGGGGGAGCATGGGAGGAACAAATAAATTCTAAATATGACAGAGGGGTGGGAGGGAAGGGGAGGAGACAGAGAATTAGCAAGGATGATGGAATGTGATAGTCATCATTATCCAAAATACATGTATGGAGACACAAATTGATTTTCATCATACTTTATATAAGAACAGAGATATGAAAAATTGTGGTATATATGTGTAATAAAAATTGTTATGCATTCTGCTCTCATCTTTTATTTTAAATCAATTTAAACAAACAAACAACAGCAACAACAAGAAAAAGAGCTCTGTCTGGCAAGGGAATGGAGAAGTTCCAGGGTACTTTGGAGAAACATATTGGATGATCAATATCTGCAAACAGTTGAGAATTATTGCTAAAAATTTTAGAAAATGGTCCATCCCTTTCTACTCCTATAAGGAAAGGAGCATGAGCCATGAAGGTCCACAAAGAAATAGTCTGTGTACAATTGATGATTAAAGTAGTTAAAGAATAAATTAAGAATATAGAAGGCTGGGAGACATTTTGATGTGAATTTATCCCATCTGTTCAGATTGTTTGACCAACACATTGACATCACCACAGGTTTTTGGATATTCTGGTTTATTGTCATTGGTGATGCTTTCTCATCTTGAGAGTCAGTATCTGCATCTGGGGAATCAGCCATCAAGTGTTGCACAAGTCTTGCTGGGATCCATATTGGTCTACATATTCTGGAAAAACAAGCAAAAGCTTTCACTAGGGTTAATAAAGGGGCTGGTGGTTGCCATTGTTGTTTTTGAGGATATTTCCAGACCACTTATGGTAACTTGAGGGACTTGTTAATGGCTCCTAGTATTTCTGTATTGGGTTATGGTTAACATCATCAAATTTCAAAAAACATAAGGTAATTAAAGCCATATTGGTTAACATATGAGGAATTGCATCAGTTAGCAAGGAATTCCATCTCTAATTTTGGTGTTTTGAGCCATAAAATTTTGATGGGCTGTCTCAAAAATGACTTGTGCTTGGGGGTTAAAGGGAATTCTTGAAAAATATTTAATGTTCTATTGCGCACAGAATACAGCAAACATTTTGAAAGTATAAGCTGAACCATTGTGTGCTGTTACATTATGTGGAAAAAATTTTGTCACAATACATTTGAGCATATGTTGAATGACATGATTAGTTTTTTCCCCAACCATAGGAGTAGCTGTAAGTAGTCCAGAAGATGTGTCAATTGTGACATATAAATAGTTTAATTTACCAAGCAAGGGTATGTGTATGACAACAATCTTCCATAAAGACAATGCCTTTAAACCCCATGAAATGACTC